GCCATATTATGGGTACACTCATCCGAATCCAGGTCGCGTTGATCCACTTCACTGTAAGTGTACACTCGTCATGGATCTGAGCTCTCCAATCCTCCAACATCGTCTTGCGACCGTCTGTGATCTCCATTGTCCCACGAAAGTTCGAGATCCACTGCATTCACTGTCCCCATATCCTGGATCCAGGTCACTCCGTATGGGATCCTCACCCCTTTGGATCCGGACTCGGAAGTATGGGATCTGGGACACCTCGCGGTGGATCTTGACTTCTTGTTAGTCGTGGATACTAGATCCCCCTTCAGATGACTCCTACCAGCATTCCTTCATAGGATCCACACTCGATCCACCCGTACATATTATATCTCATATCTACCTAAGTGAACCGAGGTAAGGTTGGATCCGAGATATGTCTTGGTGGATCTTGCCTTCTCGTACATCACTCATACCAGATCCATCGTCGTCTCATACTGGGTGCTGCTCGTCATGGCTAATCCACCTCAGGCAACTTGCATCCGCGTCGGACGATCCGAACCCTCTATAATCACTTGAAATTGTCACTGATTCGGGGTAGTGACCCTCCATTCTCTTATTTTTGAGAAAGCACTTCACCACAATCGCCTCCTGTACGTGGTCGGCGCTGCACAACAGCGTTCACGACGTGCACTACCAGCATCCACAACCGCTTTCTCCTCTACGTGACACATGTCTCCCACCAAGTGTACCAGCAAATCGCCGGGCAAGGCTCAATCCACCACTCCTCCGGTCAGCCCTTCTTCAATGTCACCCACCGATCTGCGGGCTCTAGCCCAGGCTCTTTCCGATCGGGTGCAAACCTTGACTGCGGAGCTCCAGACGGCTCAAGATGCCCAAGGCCAAGCTGCGTCTTTGCACGCCACCCAACTCCAAACCTTGCGAGCCCAGGTCCATGACCAGGCTATGGAGATCCAGGGGTGGGAGCACCGTGCGGCCTCTCGGTCGCAGAACCTACGACTCTTGCTGGATGATCAGGCGGTCGAGATCCGCGACCTGACCGGACGGCTGGATCCAACTCCCGTCAACGAGATAGCATGCGGGACGACAATGACCACCTCCTTAGGGAGATGACGCTCGCCGGATCTGAGATCCACCGGCTCCAATCCCGGATCCACGACCTCGAGCGGGATCTGGAGGATTCTCAGACTGCTAGGGCAGCCACGGACGAGAGCTTGGACCGACTCCGTGACAAGTTGCGTCTGACCCAAGAGGAGGTGGTGACCAACGACTATGTGGGATCCACCCATGGCGGATCCACCTTAGGGTCGGCGCGTGGAGGGTCTCCCGCGCCAAATCCACCTCCCTCGTCGCCGGATGTAGCTCTGGCTCAGCTTGGTGAGGAGTTACAGGATACCAAGGAGTCGCTCGAGAAAGCGTC